ACCTCGACTTGCGACCAACTCGACTTGCGATCAGTGTCACGGAACGGACTAAGTTCGTAAGTAGAGGTACCACTGTATGTGTAATCAACTTGCAATTTAAAAAAGCCTAATATGGCTGTGATGTGATGCTTCTTCCAAAGCATGGATAACCCATTTGGCTTTGCTTTAAGCAGCAAAATGCTAGCATCAGAATGGTAGCATACATTTTAATTGTCTTGTTGTCCTTGGCTTTCACAGTGAAACTTTCATCTTACGTTGCGTTCCAAGGGGAGCAGGATAATAAAGTTAGCATCTTGTTTTCAGATTCTTGCGGGCTGGTGTGGAAAGTTTGCTCCCTTTGAGATCAAGGAAAACATGGTTCTTGCTCCACTTTGCCGTGTGGCCATCGATCAGGACTTCCCCGACCGATTAGACCGGTTCGTGCAAGAGCAGAGCTGCAGCACTTCTTTCTTGGCAGAATTGAAGGGTCGTGATCCTAGGAGATCCGAGCCCACCCTTCTCTGCGGCCGCAGTGCTGACGGGATTAACAGGTTAGTTACTCCTCTTGGAACAGAGATGTGGATTGTAATGGTATTCCTTCAGAAGCCTGTTAATACCTGCGTTGACAAATGTCATGGGACAGACGTGGCTTTAGCAAAGCACCTCATCAATGGCTCTTGTGTAAAAATAGCGGTCATGGGACAAAAGGACAGGCTCCTCTTTCTGTATCAATTTATAACCAATGAGTAGAAATAAATGGGCAACTTTCTCAATCAATATAGGGAGAAGGTAGAGTCTCAAGGATCCGTATTGATCTTGTTCATAAATTATCTTGACGTAGATGTTAGTTGTGGGCTAGCTAAGCTTGAATGTGGTACCAAACTAGGGTGGGTAGTGAAAACCAGATGTGTTTGTGTAGAGCTCCAGACTGATCTCTTTAAACTGGGTGATAAGTATATTTTAAGTAAGTGTACACACGAGTGGGGGGGGGGAACCCTATTTTTATACACCCATTGTTGAGATGAGGTGTCTGTAATTCGTGAGGGAAGAAAACTTGGAGTCACAGTGGATGGGTGTTAGGACTGGCACCAGGAAGAGCCAGGTTCTAGTCCATCCTCAGCCACTGAAGACCATTGGGTGATTTTAACCAATTATTATTTAGGCCAACCTGCCTCACAGGGAGTTATTGTGAAGGAAAATGGGAGCAGTATTCTTGAACTCCTGAATGAAAGATTGGAGTATAAATCAAATAAATAATAACTCTATACAGTGGCTGTGAAAGGCAAATTGCATTCTAAGGATCATTAGCAAAAGGGACTGACAATAATGCCCACACCATATGACATTATTCAAATGTGTGGTATGTCTGTATCTGGAATGCCCCCTACAGCTTCAGGTGGACACCAACTTTGAAAAAGGATAAAACAGCTGGAGAAAGTACAGAAGGTGGCAACCAAAATTATCAGGAGGTTTGAAAACCTTCACTACCAAGAAAAGTGTAGGAACATCTGGGGCACTTTATGTTCTTATGCAGCTCCTCTTGTGGGGGGTTGGGCTGTTACTTTGGTAATGGAGCACTTGGTTCGTGTGGATTGTTTTTCGATAGACCTGGGTTTCTAATTTGCCATCTTTTCCTCTGCTGATGAGGATATCTAGGAAGGGTAGTATGTTGTTTTCTTCCCTTGTGAATTTTATTTCTCTGCAGATGTTGTTGATAGTTTCATGTGTCTTCTCTAGTTGTTCCTTTATGACGAAAGGGTTGTCTACATACTGGATCCATACTTTTGGTTGTACATGTGGGTGTGCTGTAGTTTCTAGGCATTGCATTACCATCTCTGCTATGAGTCCTGAGAGTGGTGATCCCATGGGTGTTCCTCTGATTAGTTGGTATATCTGTCCATCACACTGAAAGTAGGCAGTGAGGCAGAGATTGATGAAGTCAGTGATTCTGGGTATTTTGATCTTAGTGTATTTGACTAGGTCAGGTGTGTTGTGTAGTACTGCTGCCATGGATTTTTTCGCTTACAGAATTTTATGAAAATGGCTAGTAAGAGAGAAAGGGGACTGATAGATGTTTATTAAATTAGACATGGTAAATAGAGAGAAATTAGTTTTTTCTCCATCCTGCTGGAGTGCAGGGTTATCCAAAGAAGAGAACTAGAGGAACAAAAAAATCCTTCGGATGGAGTTGTTAAAATTACAGAATTTGGTGCCCCAAGAGTGGTTGATGGCAAATCTTTTTGTAAAAATATATTATTTAAATAATAATATCATCCCTTGTTAAACAAGGAAACTTGACAGATGGTTCTAGGTTCAGTGACCGTCTGGCTCCTGATACTCTTGGAAGAGGGAAAAGGAGAGAGGGCTTTTGTCCACAAATAAACAGAAAGTTCCATCCCATAATGTTGTAACCCCACAATGTGTTCCAGAACCAGTCCAACCTCAGAATGGGACCCTTGGAATAGGCCCACTTCTGGATGTTTTGCGCACCTCTTCTTTTTCCCCCTGACCGGGTTGTAGAATTCTAAGAGTGAGTTGGATTCAGACGAGGGAGTGACATTACTTGCATTCCTGGGTGAAAAATGGGATATAAATCTAGTTAGTGAACAGGGATGATGTAGTCATCACTGCCTTTTTTTTTTTTAAGTCTTCACCTGGTTAACATGGTATAGCCCTTAGACATTTATAGGATTCTTTCCTCCTCGAGTTGGAAGCCATTTTTAATCAATCAAGAATTAATATTTTAGTAAAAAAATATAGTATATACCCACCTTTTAAATAGTTTAATGTGAAGTTTTTGTGTGTTCTGGTGCTTTGGGGGCTTTTAGCAAAACATTCTGTGGATGGCAATTTCTAAAATAGATAAATAAACAGAAGCCTGTGTCCTCTGAATTCTAGCTTCAGACAGCAACAATGGAAAAAGCTATTGAGCTGAACCTTTGTGGATGGGCCTCTTGAGATGTATCTGGCTGGGCTCACAGTGAGATCTGATGCTGATCTGATACAGAATTAGGGTGTTATGTTCCTTCGATAATTTCCCGAAATACATGCTGCTGTTCAGATCCACTGAAGCTTCCTGAGTCATTTCTGTGTGGTGATAGGGTCACCCATCACCAGTGGAAATGCATTCACCTGGTGTTGGAATGCACTGCGTATATCATTTCACAAAAATGCTCTGGGGTAAGGACCCATTTCAAGATGTCTCCCTTGCTCAGCTTTAAGCCTCAGCTTGTCTTGTCCACAAGCAAGGCGCTGTATTCACAACTTCTCTCCTACGTGAAGGGTGTGCCTTGTGACGCATTAATCTGTGGTCATCCTCTTTAGAACCTACCACTGCAGGGTGCCTGGCATTTCTGTGCATCCAGCATAGAAAGCTTTCGTGTCCCCTCCCTCTCATTGGTCTACCTCCTCTCCCCCTGCCCCTCTCTTTTATCCGGAGTGGTTTGCACCATACTGTTTCCTTAACTTTCGCTCACTTTTTTTTAGCTGTGATATAATTCACCAGTTCAATTTTAATTGAAATCTCTAGAGAAGGGGACAAAAGTCCTTTTCTTGTTAGTCAAGCATTGCTATCATAGTACTAATTAGGAACTTCATTTTAATGGAAAGCAAGGAAGACTTTCAGCTCCCCTTTCCCCCAACTTTCTTTTGATGTCAGGAACCCCAGTGGGCAACATCAAAGATTGAGCACGCCATTTTTTTTTTGTTCAACAGTGATGTGGTCATTGTGGGTAGCAGCCAAGCAGAAGATGTGCCAGAAAGAAAGAAGTTTGGCAGGATGAAACTCCTGCAGTTCTGTGAGAATCACCGGCCTGCCTACTGGGGCACATGGAACAAGAGATCTTCAGCAATAAGGCCAAGAAGCCCTTGGGCCAAAGATATGGTAAGCTAAGAACATTACAGTACATCACATATGCTCTACAAACAGGTTAAAAGGCCATAGGGACCAAGTGGGTATCAAAGGAAAGAAATGGCAGTTTAGTAAATCTTTGTGGAAAGAAAACATTCCATGTCAGGAATCCTACAGGAACATCCAGAAGGTCCATCTTCTGTTGAAATAGTTATGCTTCTGAGGCAAGGGAAATGACTTCACCTTGAGAACCACTGCTGGTCAGTATAACTGAGCTCAGGACAGCCTCTTGTGTTCCCTTGGGGGAGGGCAGTGCAATTTTGGGCTGCACGAACAGAGATGTAGTGTCAAGAGCATGGGAAGTGATAGTTCCTCTCTCTGCTGCACTGGTCAGACCGCACCAGGAATAATGTGTTTAGTTCTGGTTGCCACAATACAAAAAGGATGCTGAAGAACTGGAAAGTGTGCAGAGAAGAGCAGCAAGGATGGTGAGGGGCTGAGAGGTTAAATCCTACAAAGAGCAATTTGATATGGTTAGCCTAAAGAAGAGAAGGCTATGGGGAGACATAATAACAGTCTTCTAATCCTTGAAGGGTTGTCCCAGGGAAGAGAGGGTGCATTTAGTCTCCTGAGGATAGGACAAGAACCAATGGGTGGAAGCTTTGCAGAGGGGGGTTCCAAACTCAACATAAGGAGAAATTTCCTGACCCTGAGAGCTATGAAGCTATGAACAGCCTGCCTCCTGAAGATCTGGGTGCTCCATCCCTGGAGATTTTCAAGAAAAAATTAGACAGCCATTTGCCTGGGATGGCATGAGGATTCCTGTACTGGGCAGGGGGTTGAATTAGATGACCTCCAAGGTCCCTTCTAGTCCTATGATTCTGTGAAGGTATCTTGGATAAGAAGGACACATGGACTGCCTGCGGAGGATCCCTGGCATTTCACTAAGGCTAGGAAAGGCTTGTCTGTGAGATGTTGAGGAGCTGAAGCCAAGCCATGAGACAATATTGAAGCAGATGGACCAGGTGGAAAGCTGATTTGGGTGGGGGAGGAGTGTCGGGGGCTAAGAGGTGCTTGTTAACTTCTGTTTTCTCTGCTCAGTGTTGGCCCCCTGGCCTCCACTCTAAAGCATCATCTGCTGGAGAGACCGGCCAATGATGCAGCATTGAGCACCTCAAAGAAATAGTCCTGAAACAAGGCAGTTTGTATGTATGGAGACAGTGATAAAGACCTTGCTGTGCATACCTCAATTCCCAGGATCAATTTCTAGTTCTAAAAATGAAGGTGCTGGGAAAGATCCTGGAGAAGTACAGCTAGTTCAGAATTAGTCAGAGATGTTGTAGTCTAGGGGATCTTGCACTGAGCAGGGGGTTGGATTCAATGACCTCTAAGGTCCTTTCCAGCTCTAGGATTCTGTGTTTCTACTTTGTCACTGATACTGTTCTAAATCAATGACCTTTCTCCCCCTCTGCACAATCCTTCTTGAAACGTACTTAGCTTCTTTGCTTCTTTCACTGCAGAAGCTCCTGGACTACGAAGTTGAGAGTGATGAAGAGTGGGAGGAGGAGGAACCAGGGGAGTCCCTCTCTCACAGTGAAGGGGTAAGGCTAAGCCTTTTCACGAAGCAGCAAAGTGCCCATCCTTCAGTGACAAGAAAACTGTTGGGAAAAGGAAGCCCTCAGACTGTTTAGTGATTGAAAAGTTGCAGGCAACATCTGGAATCAAGCACAGAAATTCGTCATCCACACTGTTCGCCAGGATGCTCTGGAAGAAGATGATTGGAGTAGTGTCTTACAGAAAAGAGCCAGAAAGATCTGGGCATGGTTAATCTTGACCTGGCATCAAGATCCATATGCCTGGGGTGAAAAACACCCTACCGTTTAAAGGTTGGCGGCTGCAAGGGCATTCCTCCTTGTGAGTCAAACCAGTCCTGATTTGTGATTTTCCAGCTGCTGCTGCTGCTGCACCATATTTGGAACCTGCCCCCATTCTTCAAATTCTAATATGCCTGAAAAACATGCACAGCTGGGGGGGGGGGGGGCGGTGAGGAGGAAATAAGTCTTTCTAAATGTGAGGGATGCATTTCTTTTGGATATGGCAAAACTGAGAATGCCCTTTCCTCCCCCAGTGAGCACTTTTGAAAAGATCTGCCTCTGAAGTTTTTCTTAGGAAAACATGCTCTTCTGAAGCTGCTTTGCAATCTGTCCCTGTGTTCCCTTCTCTCAGGATGAGGAAGAAGATGGGGGAGAGGAGGAAGATGATGACGACGGGTTTTTTGTTCCTCACGGATACCTTTCGGAGGATGAAGGCGTGACTGAAGTAAGCCCCAAACAGAAGGGAATTTTTCTAAGTCTAAAAGGCTGAAAAGATGACCTATGTAGTAGATGTTGATCTACCTAACATGGTGACAATATACTAGCCCTTAGGACTGGCAGTTACGATCTCTGTCAAAAAGCTGCAACCCAAATTTAAGATCCACTTATTTGGGAAGATGTATTGGATTTCCGTACTTGCTTCTGCAGGAGTAAAAGTTAAAAAAACAACCATAGGCTTTAGTGAATCACATTTATCAGATGCATGATAGGATATTGGCCCAATGTGTGTGTTATATATACACAACCATTATTGTGGGGGAGGGTGGATATTATAAGGAGAGGTCAGAAACCGACTAGCTATAAATCATAGCCATTTTTTTAAAATGTGTTGGATGTGACGTAGGTATCTATGCACCGATGAACTGATTGAACTTATGTAATGTATTAATAAACAAAGAATAAGGTTCCTTATTTACGTAACTGAGAAACAGCCTTAAGTCTAATGACCTCTGACCTTACCTTTCACAATGTAAACAGAGGCATTACTGATTTGTATTTCTGGGCGGGCATTTTCTAGTTTTGTGCAATAGAAGTCAGTTGTCAGCATGAAGTTACTAATCTTGAATGTTGAATTGCTTATAATTTCATCATCTGTTTGGAAAGGCTGTTCTTGTGTTGTCACTTTGGTCAAAAGATTTCAGATGCATCCTTTTTCTGACTCTGCCAGATAGTCTGACAATGTCACTGTGTAGGTGTTAGATGGTTACAATTATACAAAACAGTAAGCCTATCCAGAGAGAGGCTAGCAAGCAAACCTCATGTCCTAGCTTGTCATAAATCAGCTATTTGTATGTCACCTGTTCTCTTATTCTTGGTTTAGCCTTTTAGTATGAGCAGATCAATTAGCCAGAAATTGAAAGTTTATTGTGCTGTCTAAATGAGATCCTGGCTTATTTAACAAACTAGTTTTTTTTAACTCAGTTGCCATAATGTGTTTTGGATAGGGGGCTTAGTTCAGCCCTCATTTTGGTGAGGGATCAAATAGAAGCAAATAGTTTCTGCTTGTGTTGAGTCCTCTGAGGATAGATTGTAATGAAACTTTCAAAGACAGATTTCAGATTTTAGTTAGAGCTACAGTACAAATTTACATTAATCAAACAGTGCAAACCAAAAGTCCTTTTTATTCAAAGAGAGATGTATAAAACTTGTTTTCAACTTGATAATTGCTGTATATTTGTACAGTTGTCAACCATCTTTATGACTCCTCTGTAAGGAAATTCCATCCAAACCACAGGATGAGTAAGCAGTTGGCCAGCTATAGTACAGTTCAGTTGTAGCCCTGCATAATAAAGCAAATAAAAGCAGTAACCATGGTATATAAATTCTCCCTTTATAATGTGCATTTATATGCACTTCTATCAATTCCATGGATGTGATGATAAAACAGCCCATTATTATTAACTTGCTCTGGAGAGCTGTATTCACACTGCATGCTAAGCCAGGTCATATATCTGTACATTTATTTATTTAATTTATATTTTGAATTTCGATACTGCCCATCTCATGAAGAAGTGACTCATTTGCACAACCAGCAAGTTTAGTTATTTTTTTAACTTTGGGGTTTTGTCTTTATTTACTGGCAAAAAAGAAAAAAAACTTTAGAAACATCCATCTGTTAAATCTAGTCTTGCATATATTGTCAGGTTAGTAAAGTATTAACATTTAAGTCAGTTCTATCAATAGAGCAAACAGGACATGAACCATATAAATTAGTGCATGCAGTCCACATTTCTAGGAGCTCTCTGAATGGAACTTCTGGTGGTAAGATGTTCAGATATTGAATGAGAAATGCACTCTTCAAACGTTTGCATCGTTGATGGGATGGGTGTCATTCTCATCTTGTAGTATCAGGGTTTTTTTGTAATATAAAAGCACACAATATCCAATCTTGTTTTCCTCCTGTTTGTTTCTAAACCATTTGAATAGAATTCAAAATAACATAAGCAGTGAGTTTTCTAGAACAAAATCAATACAGATAGTCCCCTATTTACGAACAGTTTAAGTTCCGAGAGGCTGTTCATAAGTCCATTTTGTTCGCAAGTCCAACGAGCATTAAAACATGCACAGTTCACGTCTTACATAAGCGGCAGCATTGACATAGGTGCTTGTGGCAATGGCGTAGGCTCGTCCTCTGTAGTTGAAACAGCACTTTTTTCCACCTTCCTGAAGAAGCAGTCCAGTGAACTTTGGGTGGTGGTCGTCCTTTTCCCATAAATAACACTGTAGCACTGGATTGCATCATGGATAGCTGCAGACACCTTGGTGACGCGCTCCACATTAGGCTCCTGCCTCTCAAACAATGATAGCACTTTTTCAGTTAAGCTGAACCCCTCTGCCATCAGCTTGGTCTGGAACCGCTTCAGCGGTTCAGTCTCTTCCTCTTCCTCTTGTGTTTGCTGCTCCTCCAATTCCATGAGGTCTTCATTGGAGAGGTCCTCTGTCTGTGCAGCTCCAGGTCAAGCTGAAGCTCCTTGCTAAGGGCAACCAAGTTGCTGATAACAGCCTGTGACTCCCTTTCTGCCACCTCAAGCCCGCGAGAGTCATGAACGAACTGCGGGCACAGACGTTTCCACACCCCATTCATGTTTGCAGGGGTTACCTCGCACCAGGCTGCATCAATGTTCTTCATGGCCTTGTAGATGTTGTAGGACTTCCAAAACTGGCGCAAGGTCATCTGGGAGTCCGCTTCGGCTGTCTGGACTGCCTGCCTAAACGTGTGCTGAAGATAGTATTTTTTGAAGGTTGCTATCACTCCCTGATCTATCAGCTGCAGGAGGGAAGTGTTGTTGGGAGGCAGATACACAACCTCCACGTTCGGATAAAAATCGTCCAGGTAAGGTGGATGACCCAGGGCAATATCCAATATGAGCAGAATCTTGAAGTCACTGCTTTTTGTGTGGCAATACCTCTTCCCTTCTGGGATGAAATGGTGGAAAAACCAGTCTTCAAAGATGAGAAGGATGACCCAAGCGTTTTTGTTAGCCTTCCACACAACAGGAAGTGAGTTTTTGAGATGTTCTTGAGAGCTTGTGGGTTCTCAGAGTGGTAGACTAGCAGCGGTTTTAGGTTCAGGTCGCCAGAAGCGTTGCCACCTAGCAGCACAGTTAGCCTATCCTTCGCAGCTTTGAAGCCTGGCATACTCTTCTGCTCCTTGCTGCATGTTCTGTCCGGCATTTTCTTCAATAAAGCTCCATTTCATCCACATTGAATATTTGCTGGGGCAAATAACCATCTTCCTCGATGACCTCCTTGAGGGTTTCTGGGAACTCCTTGGCTGCAGCCTCGTCTGCACGTGCTGCCTCGTCACTGACTTTCACGTTATGAAGGTTCATACAAGCCTTAAAGTGGTGGAACCGCCCATGGCTTGCAGCGAACACCTCTTCAGCAGCACCTTCACCAGCCTTCTGTTGTAAGCCATGGAATAAGCTCTTAGCCTTCCCCTGGATCAGCATTAGGCTAAGCGGCGCACACCGCTGATGCTGGTCTTCAGTCCACATGGTGAGCAGCGCCTCCATCTCCCATCACTTTTCCTCTCTTGCTTATTATCGTGGATTGCATAGGCACTGAACTTTTGACATGTTCTGCGACCTTGTCTTTGTTCTTAATGATCGTTCCAGTTGTGGAACAATTCATGCCATAGGAACATGCCACATTCGCCATCTTCTCCCCCCCCCATTTTCTTCAATATCTCCATCTTCGTGAGCATCATAACAGATTGCCACTTCTTCACGCTACCCCCCTCCCCATCAGCACTCTTGCACTTAATTGCAGACATTTGCAGTCTGCAATTTGCAGTCGCCACACACCAAACACAACTGATCATGAATAAGCTTATTCATTGTTTGCATGCTGTAATTTTACACCGTTTTAAGCAAACCTGGCCATGTTTTCCTAGTAACAGTTGTCCATGAAACTTGTTAATAGATCCTTGGTTTTCAGAACAGTAGAATCCTTGGAATACATTAGTTGTTGATTTAATCTTTTGGTTCATTAGCCTGGCCCAATGCTGAGCCTTTTCATCTCCCATCAGGGAGTAAACTCATCTCCCCCTCCGTCCTTGTCCAGGAATGCGACCCTGAAAACTACAAAGCTCGCCAGAAGCTGAAAGCCAAGGAGTGGGACGAGCTGATCACCAAGGGGAAGAGATTCCGCGTCTTGCAGCCTGTGAAGATCGGTTGCATTTGGGAAGGTGAGGACAGCAGTGCCGGCACAAGTGCAGAAATGGGAATCCTGCAGCAGTTTACAGCTTCTCTCCTGGATTCCAGCTTTGCCGATGAAGAATTGATAGAGAAAATCAGCAAAAAGAAAACGAAGGACCAACAAAGTAAGCTGTGGGTGGATGGAGCAAACTACAGTGTTGCCTCCCCCAGAACAGGGGACCTTTCTGGAGTGGGCAGTGAGCTGAGATTCATGACTCGCTTTGGGTTCTGACATTTGTAAGACCTTTCCATATCAAAGAGAAGGTCTAAAGGGTGTCCCTTTCACAGTAGTCACATAGTAAGTTGTAACATCTACGCATGTTAAATGTGAGCGTAGCTGGGGTAAAGCACTTTGCTCTGTTCCTGTGCTGTCCCAAAATACCTGTTTTAAAAACCCGAACAATTTCCTGATACTTAAAGGCCAATGGTTTTTGTGTGACTTGACTTCTGTTGCTCCAGCAGTAAGGAGCCACCTTGGCGTAACTAAGATTCTGCTCTTCGCCCCCTTGCAGTCTTGGCCCAGCTGCTTCCGCTGCTTCACGGCAACGTGAACGGAAGCAAAGTCATCATCCAGGAGTTCCGGGAATGCTGCCGCCTGGGGCTGCTGTTGGACAACGGCAGCCCGGCCTCCTCGGGCAGTGGGGACGCCAGCCCCAGGGTCTCCCACGGCCAGGCTGCGGCCTGTGAGAACGCTGTTCCTTCCAAAGCCAGACTGAAGAGGATCATCTCTGAGAACTCCATATACGAGAAGAGGCCTGAGTATCGAATGTGTTGGTATGTGCACCCTGAGGTACTGAAGAACTATGGCCAAGAGCACCTGCCCGTTCCTTGCCAGTGGAACTACATTAGTCAGGTTCCATCAGTGGCCAAGGAAGAAGGGAATAATTTGCCAGGAGGGGCGGCGACCCAGGCCCCCCCAGTCTCGGCAAAACGGAAGTCAACAGGAAGCATGTCGATCACCAAGTTCATGAGGAGACCTCCGGGGACCCAACAGGTAATGATGGCCTTCTACCCAAGTTGGAAGCTACCTCCTTGGTAGTCATTAACAAGCTGTACCACCCTCATTTCTTTTCTACATGTTTTGGTTGCCTAGTCTGGTGGAGACTTGGGTGCTTCGATCCAAGAAGCTTGCTGGGTCTAATTCACATAGGATGCTAAGCTAAACCACGATTTGTTGAATAAGCCATAAACCGTGCATTATGGCTGGGTTTACACAAAGGCGCAGCCGGGACCAAATAATGCACCAGCCTGTGTGGCCTTGGTGCAACATCTCCTGCTCAGCCCACCCTGTAACTGAGTAAAATTGGTGGAGGGCCCCAATGGCATGAGCTTGAGAAAGTCCTCATTTGGGGAACGGAGGTTTGCCCACTTTGTTGCAGGAAGTGCCTGCAATCTCATGAGCCCTTCTGCACCAGAAGAATACTGGCACTAGTCCCTTCCTCAGTGGCTAGGCAGCTGGCAATAGGTGTGGCTTGGGTGTTGTAACCAATCAGATTGGGAAGTATAATCTGTGTGCCAGGACTTGGCGGAGAGTTATGGAATAGAGAGGCTTCTTTTCCAGCTTCTCTTTCTCTCCAACTCTTTTTCATGGAGGACTAGGTCTAAAAGTGTTTCCACAGATTAATCCTGCACACGACAATCTGTTGGGGTTGAATTTAACTCCCTGGAGCTAGTCCAGTTGGCTCCATTATCCCTTTTCGGGTGTTCCCACAACATACACCACTTCCCCTGCTTACTGACCTAGTTGGGCTTGTTGTAAAGACAGGAGTCAGATGCCAGCCGACGGGCCACCTTCTTTTTCACTGTTGGGGACTTGCTTTAAACTGGAGAGTCCAGCAATGGAATTTGGGGCTGCCTGCATGCAAAGCTGTGGGTCTACTCCAGAAGCCCTTCCCTTACAAGCAAACAGACCCCAGAAGAAGCTTTCTTCATGAGTACCAGGTCTCAATCGCGCCACTCTCTTGGGTCACGGTTTATTTCTGATGGGCATCGTTATTTGCTAACCATATTTGACAGCACCACCTCTGTTTCGTTCAAAGGTGGAAAGCACAGAGATGGACGGATTCCAGGCAGACACAGAGGAAGAGGATGACGATGAATGCATCATTATAGACATACAGCAAAACCAAGGCAAGTTCACTAATTCAGGTCCTTGTCCAAAGGCACCCAGCTGGAGGGGAGGGAAGTCACGTTGACCGCACTTCATCGTTGAAGGAAGCTAAGCACGAGTGTAGTATGAAGACAATTCCATCATACCCAACTGAGTTGGGAAAGGCCTCTGCCCAGACTGGTCAAGACCCACTGCCAATCCCCAGGGTAATCCAGACCAAAAACTTTTTAAGCGGGACTTTTATTAGATCTAGAAAGCCAGCAGTGTGGTGTGGTGGTTAAAAGCACTGGGCTAGAAACCAGGAGGCTGAGAGTTCTAGTCCTGCCTTAGGGATGAAGCCAACTGGATGGCCTTGGGCCAGTCCCCCCCTTTCAGCCCTAGGAAGGAGGCCAGGCCAGGCAAACCGCTTCCAAAAATCTTGCCAAGAACACTGCAGGACTTGTCTAGGCAGTCACCAGCAATCCAGTTACTCAAAAGTGCAAGAAACAAAAGTGAAATGCATCAGTGAAATTTATTTTTGTTCTTAGCATCCATCCCTTGTCTTTTCAGAAATTGCTTTCAATATTCAACAAGTAGCGATGGTAGAAAAGAATCCGGCTGCCTCAGAAAGGCAGGCAATTCCTCCGCGGGCCCTGCCGTGAGCCAAGCTTCACAGGGCTCGTGGAAGGGAAGCAGCAGAAGCTTGGCTCACGGCAGGGCCCGCGGAGGAATTGATCTCCCGCCTTTTCTCCAGGAGTTCAAGTCCTCACAGTGGGTGCCATGGCAAAGATGCCAGGCTCCCCTGTCATTCCTTACAGAGAGGAAATGGTGGTTGGTGGTTTGAGGACGCTCTCCCCGTGTTTTAACCCTGTACATATATAGTGAAGTTTTTCCTTCTATCACTTTTTTTTATCTGTAAGCCATCTAGAGTCACTTGTATAGTGAGATGGGCGGCATATACGTTTGGTAAATAAATACATAAATAAAAGTTTGATTCTGTAAGCCGCCTGGAGTCACTGTGAGTTGGGCAGCCATGTAAATTTGTTACGTGTACACTGGTTACAACAAAGCAGTTCTTTGAGTGAAATGTTGTGTCATTGCAGCACCTGAACTGAGGACCTCGGAAGTGGAACCCGCTGCTGTGGCTGCCAACAGCTCCCCCAATGCCTTTTGATATACACATCCCCGTACTTTACTGCTTTGTACGTATGTAGAATTCTTTTAGATTATTGTAAAACCCTCGTGTATCTTTTTTTGTTTTTGTTTTTGTACAAGATACTTGATACTTGAACATACTGTGTTCCTTGTAAAGAGAAGACAGCACTTTGTTCTGCTTCAAACTGGTGGAAGCTTAAGACATATTTTTAGGGGGGTGGTAGGCGAAAAAAATATACGGCATATAATCTCTCTAATAAAAGCATTATTGAATTTTTGATGGGCTCTGCGCAAGATGTGGTGATCTTTTCCTTTTACCTAAAACGGAAGGTATTTAATCTTCGGGTTTATAGCTGCTCAGATGAAAATGTCTGCTTCCACGGTAGTGATCTCCCCTCCAGTCCTTCCTAGTTCTAGCTCACCTTTCCAAGCTACGCTTGTGTTTCACTTCAATGGTAGCTGCGAGCAGAGGTTGCGATCTGTAAGCCAGCGCATCGCTTCTGCTTGCCCGTTTTGCCCCTTGCTCTCATTGCCCCCTCTGAAAGGGCCGATCCTGTTCCTTCTGGGCTTTCAACAAACGTTCTTCCGCAGCATCCCTTCCCATCAAGCAGGAAAAGAGTGGAGTGGCACAGTCCAGTTACAAACGTTATGATTTACTTAAGTTCTATTCGGGAAGCTATAAATAATTTAGACTGTTAATTCATCTAGCCCAGGACTTAGGCTGCTCCAGGATTTCAGATCAAGAACGATCTTGTAAAGAAGATGCTACAAGACTTATGGCACACTAGACGCATCAGCCTGTAGTCATTTCTTTTCCTTACAACATTAAAAGAAGCTTTTAAGAAGTGGGTCTTAATTCCAGGAACGGGAGCCCTGTTCAGGTGCCAGCTCTTTCGGCCTGTGCAGTCATCTGGTCCACAGCCAGGGGCTAGTTGTTACAACCATTAAATAATCACCCCCAAAACACCACCAATCAAACATTTTAAACAGCTGACTTTCCTTTAAACAGCATCATCAAAACAGTATAATTGTACAATTTTTATACCTCGCGCTTTGGTTGAATCTGGTTGAAAAAGAAAATATGCACCAGTTGAATCCAGAGCCTTCCTGAAGAAGAGTAAGAAAAAGAACTGTTTGTGGGGGTAGGTGGGATGACAGCATTCTCTGCAAGTGACTTTCCAGAGGGATGCATACGCATTTCAGTGGGTTAAGGGTTCTGCTTCCAATTTAAAGAGATTCCACAGACCAAGGGATATGAGAAAAATAACCCCTGTTTAATGTGTATCTTTCTTTATACATTATAAAAATGGTGTTTATCTCCCCAAAGCCACCTCTGTTGAACTCTGAAATGAGGCTGTACTTGATAGAGCAGAGCCACCAACAAAACCAAAAATAAATCTTTCACCCCAGACACCTAAAACAAGAGTGGGGGCTAGGTGGCCCCACCCTTTCACTTCATCTACTTGTCCTGTCCCCCAGCAGCATCAATCAGAAATCTAAACAAACGTCCAAAGGAGCCTGCCTTATTCCTCACTACGAATGAACAGAGGAAGCCGGCAGAAACTAGCGCAGTGCATAAAAACGGGGCAGAGAGGCTCAGACGGCTGTCCGGTGCCGAGGGATCTTGCCACCCTGACCCTGCTCCGAAATCCAAGAGCCCACCACATCAATGGCAGCATAGGCAGGGCTTTTATGAAGATGGCTATTTGTGGGGACCATTCCTGCCGCAAAACAGCCTCAGCTCACACAGTCAAAATATCTGAAAAAAAAAAAACCCTGTGGGATTGATGCTTCTAATTTCCTAATCTTCCTCGCTTTGGACTGTTTAGAACTCTTTCCAATAGCTTACAACTTAAGAGCACTGACCCCCTCATTGGCTGCAGTAGTGTATGTACATTCCTTCTCCAATAAAGCTAACAGCTTATCTATGACTTAAAAGCCAGCATGATTCAGGACCTCCTCCAGGCCTAGAATCTGTTACGGACAGTGCTTTGTGAAGCAATAGTTGGCCAGAAACACTGGCAGCCCCGAATGCTGACAAACAGCGCAACTGGGAATTGTTTGGTAAACGCTCCTTCTCTCCTCCCTCAGGCAGTGTTTATCTTTTTCTACCCCAAATGTGCTTAGAAGCTAGAAAAAGATTAAAACCTCTTTGGGCTGAAGATGAAACTTCAAAAAATATAAATAAGAGCAGAGCTGCGCTGGAAAAACATCCCTTGTCCTCCAACACATGTAAAATCAGCTTGAGATCTCCACGTGCAAAGCCTGGGGAAGCCACCTCACCTATTCTCCTTGCAGCTACCCTCTTGCCAGGCTGCTAACACCAGTTAGGAAACAGTGTCTTTTGCTCTAGTCTGCAAGACGAGGTACAGGAAGAGCCGGAGCAAGGCTTCCATTTGACAGGCAGGAGTCGGGGACCACACAGGATGGAACTGGATCCAACCCCACTGCTCCTTTATTTTCAGGACAGCATCTGCACGGTTGGCAGCAGATCTGGTTTCAGCACACTTCCCATGCGCTCGCCCCCTGAAGCTTTGATATCCGCCATGACGTCAGCATCCCAGACGAATGTCAGCAGCGCGGAGGGCACCTTGAAAAGAGAGAAAAAAACTCAGTGGGTGTTTTCAGGGTGCCCGCACTGAACCAACGCTGATGCCTACCGGTGCCCCCAATAAGCACGAGTAGAAACGGCAACCCAGGAGAAGACCGTGACAAACGTCTTCTGCAGCACCGTGTGGGAAAGAGAACCCGGTACAGATGCTGTCACCAGGAATCCAGCTCGACTGAGCTCTTACTTTAGCATCTCTGGGTGGTTGTACGGCTGACGGCTTTGTAAGAAGTGACCTAATTTGCACTTCCTGGAGCCACCGTGAGTTGGGCAGCCATATAAATTGCTTTAATAAACAAATGAATAAATAAAAATAAGGCATCTACTCAAAAGCCTCTGACTGAGAGCAGCCTTTTCTGAAAGGAAGATTGGTTATGCACATGGGAAAAAATAGGTGTAATTACTACCTAGGAACACCTATATTTTGCTAATAATGTTTAAAACGTCTTTCATCTGTTGCTTTTCCTGGGAAACTGCTTTCTGGTTTTTACAGTTCACATCTCTTTATTTCCCTGTTGTTCTGTTCAACATGTCCTGCTTATGACTGCCTTTGCTATTCTCCCCTTCAAATAAATCATCATGGTTCTGTCTGAATTTGACACACTGCCCTTCTTAAGTGATTTAGCTAGGGCTTCTAGATCACTGTTTTTCAACCTTGGCCACTTTAAGTCGCATGGACTTCGACTCCCAGAATTCCCCAGCCAGCAAACAGCATTCTAGATGTATCCATTATAGTCACCATTGGTGCATATCTGCCTCTTACGTTTCCTCCCAGCCCATTTTTTTCTGTATATAGTACAACCACAAAGTCAAGATTTGCACAGTAGCTTCTCCTCTCTTAGAGCGAAGACTGGTACCTAAACAAAAATATACTTATGTACTGCCCAGCTTCCTCACCTGCTTCTACCTCATCCCCCCATTTTTATTATTCTCCAGGAATTAAAACAGACAGCAGTGAGAAAAGTTGGCTTTTTAGCTTATTCGTGGCAGGCACTGCATTCTATGAAGACCTCTTTTTTTTTTAATGCCTCTTACTTAAAAAAAATAAAAACCTTTCTTTTGGATGAATGTCCACTGATTGATACAGGAATTGGACAGGATGAATTTATAGTCGATTATCCTCCATACTGACACTGGAGGGAAACCTGTACAGCTTAAAGAAGGATGCAGAATTGTGCTTGGAGAAGCAAATAAGATTACAGGGCAGTTGCCCCCCCGAGATGGAGATGAAGTCACGGTGTTCAATTGTTTTAACTCCCACATCTTCAATCACAGAACAAAACGGAGAAAAGGCAAAGGGGTTACCAGTTCCATCTCCCTCCCTCCCAAGGAACTGGATACTTACCAGCCCACATTCATTAAGTGCCAAGCTCTCGTCAGTCAGTTTGTGGCCCCCAGGGGCCAGTAGCTCAAACGGGAGCCAATCATTCTGCAGAGTCCCCCGCACAAACTGGAACAGAGCTGAAACGGGCTCTCGGGCATAGAACGTTCCTGCATTGGGGGGAAAAACAACAAGCTTTTCCCTTCTGCTCCCTTTCATATTTTGCACAAGTTCAGACAGAAGAGACCTACTGGATGCTCCTGGGCTGGGCGCATCAAGCACCTGACTCAAGGTAAGCCAGCTCACTGCAGACTGACTATGGCATGACCGGCCTCCCCATTTACCTTGTAGGATGTACCCGTCAGGGAAGCGAACGCGCAGGAGCGTGTAGTTGTATCTCCTCAGCTCCCTTTGTTCTTCCTTCTCCCGCATGGCTTTGGTCCTCAGCATGGAGGCCTTCTCAACAGCTTCTGTCCTTCAGAGAGAAGAGAAGAGGGTCAAAAATGGAAAGCAGAGCATCTAAACAGGACCAAAGCAAGGAACAGACCACAGGTTCTACAGAGACCAGTGGTGGCTCTTCAGGGTTGCACGCTGGACATGCACGGAGCATCTACTTTACCACAGAGCCATGCCCTTCTTAAGAAAAATCCTCCCAGTTCTAAAGAAGGTGAAATGCCTTGTACTGAATCGGACCGTTAATCCATCCAGTCCATTATTTTCAGCACTGATAACTAAAGGCAGGATTTTTTTTCTGGGAAAACGTTCAGCATGGACAAAGAGTACTTGTCCACTGGGTTATGACTGTTCGTCAATTCATTCTCCAAGGTCCCAGGTCAAGGAAATCTTCCCACTGCTACTGAGCACTGCTTAAATCAGACATGAGAAAGCTAGAAATTCATGTAGAACTTAGCGGCCAGGTCACCTCTCTCCAGGCACAATGATGGCCATCAGTTCAAATGGCTTTCAAACACTTGACGAGCCTGTGCAGGATGATTGGCAATGGTTAACAGCCATGGAGCCTTCAGCAAGTCTAGAATGCAATTCTTGGCCCAGAATGCAGGACCCCAAACAACCACTTGAAGTTACAGAAAGGCAGATTCTAACTGAATGCTATGAAGAACGTAACGTCAAGCCTGGTTAACTAATAGGACCCATGGCCTAAAGGAGTGGAAGGCTCCCTCACTGGAGGTGTTCAAGCAGAGGCTGGACAGCCTTCTGTCTGGAGTGCTTTAATTTGGATTCCTGCGCTGAGCAGGGGTAAGATTTGGCAGTCTCACAGTTCTCTTCCAAACTCTCTGTGTGACTGAATGCCAGTTGGAAGAGGGGAAAACCCCAAACCAAAACCAACTCAACCCCAAACCAAAACCCTCACAGAATCATCTTTCCAGGACTGAGTTGCTGTTTCTCCCCCCTCAATGGCTCTTGCACTCCTTCATCAAGGTCTCCTCCACATCCCTTTCTGCTGCCCAGCACCCCATTCCAGAAATGGCTGAGCCACAACGTGCAGGCAGTGCAGGAAGAGAAAATGCTTGGCCCAAAGGGGGGTGCCCCTCTCTTCTGTAAGACTGAAGACCAGTGATGGTGATCACTGGAACTTTCTTAAAAGGGCCACACTGTTCCTCAAAGGGATCTCAGCGGTTTATAGATTGAAAGTTTATCTGCAAGTTAAACCCCAGAATCTCCTCTTGGAAAGAAGCCCAGGCGAAGCCATGAGAATGCCACAGTGGAAAGTCCGAGCTTAGCGCCCACCAGCTCCAGCTGAGATGGTCACTCACCGGGTCCTCTGCTCCCGTCTCAGCTCCTCTGCAGTGAGGCTGAAAAAGTCAATGGGCAGCTCAAAATGAGAGGCCTGCGGGGAGGGCTTGAAAATTTGGAGCTGGCGATCCAGCTTGGCCCTCACTGGCTCGCCGTTCAGCAGTTTCTCTTTGTACTCTTTCAGGTCCTCCAGCTTCTCCAGGACCTTGTCCTTCAGCACATAGAAGTCCTCTGCGGCCCCTTCTGGAAGAAAGGTGGACATCACTTTTGGCCTGCCACCTGTTCTCCTCTTCCCCCTAGCCTGCACTAGAGGCTTACGGCTGGTTGGTTAAACCCCATAAACTCCTTTCAGCCAGCAGCAAAAGCCAACATGTAGGCTGATGATCTGGAAGATGGAGGAGCAACCTCACCTTGGACTGGCCAATTCAGCTCCATCAGTTTGGGGGAACCACTCCATGGCCACATGCAGCCAGAGTGCCAAAATTATCCCATGCAAAGTACATCCTTTTCCCAGCCTTATCCCGTGATAACAGTACTCCCTATCTTAATCTGTGGCTTCACAACAATGCCCCCCCTCCTTTTCCAAACCAAAACAGAGATCAGAAAGATGAAGGCACCTATGCTGTCATTTTTCAACCCCACATTCCAGCAAGGGTTGGAAATAGGTTTTCCAGGGAAGGGCAGTTTGGTGGTGGAGCAAGATGGAGAAGATTAACTGGATGCTCCGTACAACTGATTTAATTTTCTGCTCTTCTGCACACTGATTGCTCTAGACAGACCAAAAGCTTATCTAACACCAAAGACATTCATTTGAGCAGTTATTTATATGTTAAGAACAAGGATAAACTGTAGGTTTAAATTTAGTTGCCCAGCAGGATAAACGACAGGTGCATCGGGGAGGGGGGGCAAGCAGGAAACACTTCCTAGCAGAAAGAGTTGCTTAACAGCTGCCTTCAAAAGCGGTGGCCTCTCCTTTGCTGGGGGCCTTTAAACAGAGGCTGGAGGGCCGTCCGTTGGAGATGTTGCAGTGGTGAATTTCTGCCCAGAGCAGAGGACCGGATTAGATGATGACCCAGTTCAAATTCCAATCCATGCACTCTGTGGCTCATTAGCTGGTCATCTATGCCCACGTGCAGCCCTGTTAGCTCCACAGTGTCTATCCCAGTCAGCCCCCACCTGGTGCCTTCAGAAGCAGCCAATTCTCCATGGTCTGAAGAGCATGTTCAGCGTTCCCTCCACTCCACACAGCCAGAAGCAAATGATTTTGCTTCCCTGGCAAAAACGGCACCATTCACACACACAAACTCAGTGGCTTGTAGAAGGCTCCCCTCCCTAAATAAAGCCTTGGTGGGGGATTCCCCAGAGAGGACACGCACGCGCTTCCCCTCCAAAGGCATCTACCCCATGGCCACAGAAGGCTGATGCAAAGACACCCGAAAAGCAGAGGGAAGAACAAAATGGAGCGTTGTCGAGAAGAGGATGACTGAATGGGCACAACAGCACGAGTAGCTTTATCCGGGTTAGGAAAGGCTTGTTCACACGGAGCCTTACCTTGTCCTGCGACATCCAGGGCAACCTTTTCAAATCCAACAGCCTGGAAAAATTTGTCTGCTCCTTCCAGGCAGTGGATCCTTTCCTAGAAAGAAGTCAGAGAAGATCCATTAAGGCTAATTCTTCTTGGTGCGCTTTATCTGAACTTCTGCCAGGAGACCAAGAGCGCGACCTGCCTTTCAGGGGGTGTGATTCTCTTTTATCCTTCATTGCTGTATTCTCTTGACCAACAGGGATCAAAGCACCAGTCTCCTCATGGCAACCCTTCCTAGATTACGTGCTTGGGTTGGGAAAAAATGAAGCTTTGATTGTGGGATTTAATGATTAGATGATTTGCGTTGATAGGAATAATGTGAATTAGGATTAAATAGTGGTAAGAGATTAATTCTTTTTAATTTGTACTTATATCTGTATTGGAGATAGTCAGAAGTCACTTTCTGTTTCATCTTTCTAC